TGGGCAAATCTGCTGCACAGGAACTTTTTAAAGTATTGAAGAGCAGAGATGTCATCTTGCACTAAGGTGCGCCTGACCCAGGCTGTGGTGTTTTCAATAGCCTCATATAGATGTGAAAGCTGGACAGTGAATAAGGAAGATCGTAGAAGAACTGATGCCTTTAAGTTGTGGTGTTGGAGGAGAATACTTAAAGTGCCAAGGACTGCCAAAAGAACCAATAGATCTGTTTTGGAAGAAGTGCAGCCAGAGTGCTCCTTGGAGATCAAGATGGCTAAGCTTCATCTCTCATACTTTGGACATGTTGTCCGGAGGGTACAGTCGCTGGAGAGGGATGTCATGCTGGGTAAGGTGGAAGGTCAGAGAAAAAGAGGAAGACCCCTAACGAGATGGATTGGTCAAGTGGCATCATTGATGGACTCAAGTGTGGCAGCAGTAGTGAGGTTGGCCCAGGATTGGACATTGTTTCGTTCTGATGTACATGCGGTCACTATGAGTCGGTTCCGACTCTATGGCACCTAACAACAACAACAAAGATTTACAACCTCGGAAACCCTGTTCAGGGTCGCTATGGGTCGGAACCGACTCGATGGCACACAACAACAACAACCAATAGCGGCAGGGTGCTGTTGGCTGGTGTTCAGAGCCATTGAGTCGGTTCAGACTCCCAGCGACCTTGTAGGATTTCCAAAGAGCCGTTGGTGGGTTTGAACCGTTGACCTTGAAGTTAACAGTACAGTGCTTATCCTATAGCTACACACCAGGAGTCAAGAAACCTGAATCTCTTGAGTTGGGAATGAGTGGGTGAGTGGGAGCCAAGGGGCTTCAGACTTGCTTTCTGAATACTGGGATACAAGACGGAATAAAACCAAATTCTGATTAAAAGGAGGACAAGAGGTAAGGTAGCGAGACCACTGAAACATAATCCATTCTATTGGTGGTGTTGTTAAGTGCAGTCAAATCACTTCTGACTCATAGAGACCCTGTATAAGGCGCGGCTGATGAGTTTGAATTCCAGACCTTGCGATTTAAACCGACATTGCAGTCCAGTGCTTATCCATTCTGTAGTGCAATCCATTCTACCATAGAAATAGAACAATAAAAAGGACACTTCTGTACAACAAGTTTGCTAACAAGCTTTCACACAGACCATGTCCTTGGACCTCTAGACTTCAGACCGGAAGGTCAGGACATACAGCCCTCCTGGATTCTGCTGATGCGGAAGGGAACCTCTGAGTGGCTCCGTGAGTTGTACGACATCCAAGCTCAGGGTCCTACCACCTGGTAACAGCCCCTCAGCTCCACCCCATCCAGGAGTGCGAACTCGCAGAGCTCTAGGGAAGCGCCGAAAACAAAGCGAGCAGAAGGTGTGGCTTCCACCCTTAACCCGACCCTCCGTGCCCTTCAGAGTCCCAGGAGGGGCCAGCGCCGCCTTCCGCCCCGCGCGCGGTGACCATGGGGAAACGCGTGGGGGCGGTGCCGCGCCAAGGGGCGGACCCCAATCTTTCCTCTGTCTCAAAAGCGGCCGCGGAGCCTCAGGCCCAGCTCCGCCCTGCTCCCGCTGGCCTAGACGCCTCGGGCCGCACGTCCAGCTCGCTGTGCTGTTCTCCGCCCCGGCCCAGGCCCGCCCGCCGCCATGGCGAAGCCACTGACAGACCAAGAGAAGCGCCGGCAGATCAGCATTCGCGGCATCGTGGGCGTGGAGAACGTGGCCGAGTTGAAGAAGGGCTTCAATCGGCACTTGCACTTCACCCTAGTCAAGGACCGGAATGTGGCCACTCCTCGCGACTACTTCTTCGCGCTGGCGCACACGGTGCGCGATCACCTGGTGGGACGCTGGATCCGTACGCAGCAGTACTACTACGAAAAGTGCCCCAAGGTACTGGCCAGGGCGGGACGGGGCTGCTGACCAGGGCTTTTGGCGTCCGCGACAGCGTCTTTGGCGTAACACAGGAGCCCGGGCGGCGGGGCTGCGGGGCCGGAGGAATTCCCACCATTTCCCCCATCCTAGTCGGATATCCGGGGTGAGTTCTTGCGGGAGACGCCCCGAAGTCCAGGTGAGACGCGTCTGGGCGGTGACTGGGCCGTCCAAGAGACAGATTCAGCGATCCCACTCACGTCTCCGCGGCACTGCCCACCAGCGCCCCACCCAACCCACTGCTGCGGCCACTGCGTCCCCTTCCTTCCTCCCCCACCCCACCCTGAGCACTGCCTGGTTGTGGTTGTGGTTGTTCAGTGCTGTCAGTTGGTTCGCTCTTGCCAAAACACCTATTACACAAACTTTTAATCAAGAGATAACGTGGTTGTAAAACTAATGTTCTCCCATGTAAACTATCACAAAATTCACAATGAAACATTTAAAAACAACAACAAAAAAAAGAGATAACGTGGCAACTCCTGTCTTTTATGCAAGGTACCGTTCTAGGCCTTGAACAAAACAAAAGGTCTGCCTTCGTAGAGCTTAATATTTGTGAAAGAAAGACAAAACAAAGTGTATAGATGGTAATAAGAACTAAGTTCTGTTTTGTTTTTTAAATTGGAAGGGGCGTGTCATTGCCCATAGAGCCTTTGGTGGGTTTGATTGAGAACAAAAGTGAATGTCTGCAAGTGTGGAGTCCTAGACTTCATTCATTCCAGGCAATGCTTTGGGCTCTGCGATCCATTTCACCCCACCTCCCTAGCCGACCTCCTCCCCGACACAACCCACCTCCCCTATACCCACCCTATGTCCCTCACCCACCCCAGCTGATCCACCCCCTTCACCACAGGGCACCTGAGGAAGACAGCTCACTATCATCCCACTCCATTGCACTGGGCTGGAGAGTTCCGTTGGGTACTTTTAGCAGCACAGAGGGACACTGTCTCTGCCTGACCAATCTGGAAAGGTGGGAAGGGACTGTGGAGGAAATTGCAGGGAGGGGTTGTGTGCTGAAAGAGGTGAGAGGGCAGCTCTGGCAGCTGGAGCACCCACCGCTGGATGCTGGCCCGTGATTCCAGTATTCAAAGAATCCCTACAGAGGTTTTTAAAGAAAGTTAACTATTCCCAGTTTTCAAACTTGCAGCCATACCAAAACTTTAAAATGGAAAGGAACGCTTTTTTCTCTGGAAGTCTCCACCAAAAGTAACAACTGTTAAGTTATTGTATGTATCCTTTAGGAAAAAACTGTATGTATATATAATGTACTGAATCTTCTGTGCCATCTGACAGTCACCCAGACACAAACTTTTAGTTACCTTCTACTTCCTCCTGTATCACCCACTTGCCTCCATTCTCATTTCTCCACCTACTTGAGGCCCTTACAAATGCTGACTACCTATGTGAAGACTTAGAATCCAAATAGTTGATGAAATAAGGGTAAATTGGCATTTTTATGTATTTGACTTTAATTTATATGTATAACTGATCAGTTGAGTATTACAATAGACATTATAGTCATTTTTTTTTCAAATTGATCAAATCATTTTCATTTTGATTCTTATGAAGAAATGGGGAGTCTCATGTATTTGTTGTTGCAAAGTACCATGGAGTCAAATTCAAAGAGGCCCTATGTAGGGTTTCCAAGACTGTAATTCTTCAAGGGAGCAGAAAGCATCATCTTTCTTCTGCAGAGCAGCTGGCAGACTCGAACCATAGACCTTGTGGTTCACCATCCCGTGCTCATCATGTGGTGCCACTGCACTCCTCTCTTATGTATGAGTTGACTTCCTGTTAGCACATTTTCAGATATTTTGTTTGGTGGTAAAGAACTGGCATGGAGAGTAAGATATAGTACAGGGGAATGAAGAAGTTAGTCACGGATATATTTCTTGGAAATTTGGTAAATTGAGTTTGTAGGTAAAAGTTTTAGGCAAGTCTGACCTTTTTATCTCTCAATCTCAACTCTGATAGCCTTTACTTGGCTTGTACCATAACAGAGACACTTTCTAAGTTGCTAGGAGATTTCCTATTTTAATCAAGAACATACACCAATAAACTTTTAAGTAATTTTTTTTTAATTTGGAAGGAGCTTGTTGCCAGTTCATTGTTGTTAAGTGTGGTGGAGTTGGTTCCGACTCACAGCGACCCTATGTAGGGTTTCCAAGGAGCAACTGGTAAGTTTGAACCACCAACCTTGTAGTTCAAACTGCTCATGAGGTTAAGTGCTTATCCTATGTAAATTTGTAGTAATCTGTCAAGGAGGAATACTTTCAGCCATGGAGTTGAGTATACCTTGAGGGAGTAAATCCTATTTCTTGGATCACTTGGCATAGTTATAGCTAACCTGACCCTTGCCCACACAGGTGCTACACAGATGCTCTATAAATATTTAATGAATGAATGGCAAGCTATGAAAGTCTGACTTCTGTCTCTTCAAAGCAGATGCTTTATTCATGAGGTTTATGAACCAGAGGAGAAAAACACATGAAGTGGTCTAACACATTGAATCGAATCTTTCTTTTCTTTAATCTTTCTCAAGGGGGCAAAAAATTCTGAATTGCTTGGTCGTTATAGTGTGTAAGATACTTTCTCCCAAGCCTGCTGTTGGTAATGCATTGTTAAAAGACTGTCTGTAGCCCTGCACTTGAACCTATGCTAAAGTGGCCCCTGCTATTTGTTTCTTATTGGTGACCCACCATATGATTTGGGGTTTTTATGTTGACAAGTAAGGTTGATGTCATAGAGTACACATGACCTCTCTTTTTCTTTATTTCAGAGGGTGTATTACCTCTCTTTGGAATTTTACATGGGCCGAACATTGCAGAACACCATGATCAACCTTGGCCTGCAAAATGCTTGTGATGAGGCCATTTACCAGGTACATTGCCCCCATATTTCTCTTATCCTCTCCCTTGAAATTTCAAATTCACTTCAGGAATCTTGTGGGTGTAGCAAGCAGTGTTGGAAAATTACATTTATAGATAAGGAAACCACAGACGACTAGAAATATAACCTATTGGTGATCTTTAGTTTAGGAAAAAGAGTCTCAGAAAAGTTAAAAGAGTATTGGTTATTGTTGTTATGTGCCTTTGGATCAGTTCTGACTCATGGAGACGCTATGTAGAGTTTCCAAGGAGCAGCCAGTAGGTTTGAACTGCCGATCTTACAGTTAGCAATCCACTGCTGATCTTAAAGCCCCACACCAGGACTGTTAGGCCTCATGTAAATATTTTACAATTAATAAAATAAATTTAAATTGTGCTTGTTTTTGATAACATTCCCCAGCAAGTTACACTTTCAGAAGTTAATATGTGAATAAGTCTATGGAAAGTACTTGAGTTTCTACTGTCAGAATCACAAGCATAGCTTTGTGTCCCTTTCTACTTTAAAAGAAATGATCTGTGTTTGTTATTAATATGTCAAGGTAATATGTGAAAATGATAAACTTTTAAAATTGTTTTCATACTTTCTCAGACTGTTGCTCATGAGATGTAAAAGTACACTTCCTCCTAAAAAAAGGAACCTGACATCTTAAAACTATTATGTTGTTGTTGTTAAGTGCTGTTGAGTCGGTGATTCTGTACAAGGTTTCCGAGGAGCAGTTGGTGGGTTTGAACCACCGAACATGTTGTTAGCAGTCCAGTGCTTATCCTACAGTGCCACACCAGCAGTCTCCAAAATTGTTATGCTAGTGGGTTTTGTTTTAATTTTATGAACTTCTTCCCTAAGTTCAGGTATCTCCATATCCCACACAAAGAGTCCGTCACCTTTTTGATGTGGTTGAAAAGAGGATGCTCAAGCTGCTTTCATGTGGACAGCTCCGTCACCAGGGCCACTTTCCTTCATGTAGCTTAGGGTAGTGTTCTCTATGAAAAACATTGCAGCTCCCCTTAACTTCCCTTTTATTTGCTTCCCCTGTTATCAGCTAAAAAGAACATGCTTGCTATGGAATAGCATAAACATATAATCAGGAGGGATGAAGTGATCCATGTCTCCTTGCTCAAGATTTACGTCCTACTTTAGACCTATATGTTTAGAATGTAAAACATCCTGAAGGTTAACAATTTTTGGTGTAAGGATATACCAAATAGAAACCAGAGCATCAAGCTCAAGCCTGGTTGGTTACATATGTTGTATATGTTTACAAATGCATATTTCTTCCATTTTAAATAATTTCATGGATTATGTGACTTTCAGATTAAGAGCACATTTGTTTCACAACAGACCATGGGCAAGATTGTCATCTCATCAACACAGGACCAGTCACTTATCTAGCCATCAATGCCCTTGCTGTAAGATGAGAAATTCAGAGTGGTGTCCAGGGCTGCAGAACTCTGATAGGAGTTCACAGTGTTACTAGTGGATTCTAGCTGTGCAATACCTAAGTACTTTAGCACAAGAAGCTATCTCTAGAAATCAGTCCCTTCCATCTCTAGGTTGCTGACACTCTCTGACCTCCCCAATAGAAGAGTAGAGACTATTTCTCTCTAGCTAGATTGGCTGGCTGAGATGTCCCTGTCTGCTGAGGCCCAGGCTCTCATGGCAGTGACTCACTAACTGGTTTTGAGTTAACAACTATTGACCCTACTAAGTAAATATGTTGTGATAATAAGAAAATGAACTTTGGTCCACCCAGAAAAGCCTGAGCTTGTACCTTTTGATAATTTTCAAAAACTCCTTTAGGCCAGTTAGTATCAGCTTGTTGTTAAGTGCCATCAAGTTGGTTTCAACTCATAGCAACCCTGTATAGGGTTTCCAGAAAGTGGTTAGTGGGTTTGAACCACCATCTTAAGGTTCAAACCAACCTTGAGATCCAGTGCTTATCCTTTTGCGCCACACCAGGACTCCAGTGTCAGCCTAGTACTGGGCTACTTCCGAGGTTCTAACTGTACAATACACATTTTATTGTTTTTTTAAATAGCAAGCGTTTATTGGGGACTATTGGCCCTAGATTAGTTCTAAATGCGTTTTACAACTGTACTAATTCACAGCAATTCAAAGTGGTGGTAATATTGTCCTCTTCAGTTCTTAAATTAAAAGAAGTGATGCATAATTAGGTTTAATGGCTTCAACAGGGTCACAGAACTTGAAAGTAACATTCAGTAATGGACACTTAGCACCCACATTTTTCACCATGCTACTGCTGTACATCTGCAGCAACTGGGATCTGCAGTGGTCACCTCATGCAAGAACAAACCATGAGGGACATAGACTGAGAGTGAACAGATAACCCTGGACTCCTGACCCAAGGCTTTAGGAAATGACTGTTATCTCTGAAATGGGCTACAATTGAATATGCATGTAATGTGGCTTTTCTTTCATCATCAGCTTGGTTTGGATATGGAGGAGTTAGAAGAAATTGAAGAAGATGCTGGACTTGGCAATGGTGGTCTTGGGAGGCTTGCAGGTAAGTGACATTATTTAGTAATTGTCTGGCCAATTGAAGACTTCTCCCATGGTCAGGTTTAGAAGAACTAGATGAGCTTCCTAGGAAGGTAAGAGGTGTGACCTGGTTATAAATATTCATGTTCTTAAGTTCTTGCCATGGATGGAGCAACTCCAGAAAAACTATAGAGAAGGGAACTTGAACAAAAGAGACATTGCTTAAAATTCCTGAAGGCATTGCTTAAGACCCCAGAATTAACCAGATCCTTCCTGTGCACTTAAAGGTTTCCAAGGTAGCCCTTCTGCTTCACTACTGTTTTTCACAACTGCTCAATTCACATACTTTTGTGGTATGACCCAAGTTGTTTAACTGTTGTCTTATTGCCTTGTGCACGTGACATTTAATTTATTTGTTGAGTGACTGGTGGGTAATGATAAACTTATTTCTTTATTGGTATGATTTAGTTAATTAATGTCCTTTTATTAACAATTATTATTGTATGTATGGATACAATTTGAGTTCTGTGCTTTATCTAGATAACAATTTTCAGAAGATTAAGGAAAATGTTGAAGATATAACACCAGCATCATTAAATTAAAAATCTGTGTCCCTATGATCAAGCAATTCCAGTTCTTGATACTTACCCTGGAGAAACACTCAGACATGCACATAAGGAGTCACGTAAAAAAAAGATCACACGATTGTTTATAAAAAGAAAATATTAGCAATAACCTAAATGCCCATCAGTAGGGGAAATGGCTTCCATAAGCAGTGGAACATCCATATTAAGATCTAAAAGAATCAAAATTAATCTAGCTGTACTACCCTGGCTAGATCTCTGGAGGGAGTGGGGTTTGAATTGCATTAAAAGCCACACAATGTGATACCATTTTTATTGAAAATAAATACATTATTTTCTGTGTGTATGTATAATGTCATAGAAAAAAGGTTTAGAATTGTAAATAGAGAAAACTCTCCTAGGGAGAAGTGTAGAATTTGGGCGATGATCAAAAGGTATGCTAGCCTCATCTATGACATTTTAATTCTTAACAAGGAGAAAGCATTAATGTATTGCTTGTGAAATTTTAATTTAGTAATAAAAATGTAATACCACACACATGTCTCAAACTACTCTGTGGAAAGTAACTATCTACTTCCTCTCATTTAGAATTGGCTCAAAATTTTCCTAATTTTATACTTACTTTGTTGTTAAGCGCCGTCGAGTCGATTCCGACCCATAGTGATCCTGTATAGCGTTTCCGAGGAGCAGCTGGTGAGCATGAACCACTGGCCTTGCAGTTCAGGCGGCTTTGCAGTCTGGTGCATTAACCCACAGCACCACACCAGTTTACTTTAAATTACTAGAAATCCATTTCCATCTGTTTCATATTATTGAATCATCACTAAATCACACTGTGCATCAGCATTTGCATTAGTCATAGAAAACACTGCCTATAGGATACTTGCCACCTTTCTAAGAACTCAAGTACCAGTTCCCAGGGGAAACCTATTGAATTGGTGATTAAGACCAACAGAGTCAATGGAATGCACATTTAAGAATGGAAACTCCTACCCTGCTTTGATTTTTCTGTAAAACCTTGAATATTTGTTGGCTGAGTTGATCTCCACTCTGCCTGACATTGAATGACCTCATACTTTCAGTTAACTGATAAGGTCAAAAAGAGAAGTTGGCCATTGAAGCTGAATAATTCTCTACCAGAAAAAAGAAACTAAGGAAGATCTCTCAGCTGACTTGGTATCATGACCACTTCCTTAAAGTGCCTGAGTTCTGAAACACTTTGAAAAATGGTGGCCATATTATAATCATAGCAGGGAAAACGAGTACTCTGCACACACTCTCATCACTGACCCTCCCGGACTAAACAGGTTGAGAGTCCCTTCTGGTCAGGCTTCAAGGAAATGCCAGACAAACAGTTCAGAGAGCCGGAGAAGTGGAGTTAGAGCCAGGCCACATGGGCACTGGAATGAGAAGACCATTAAGATGTTAAAATAACATGGAGGGCTTAGGCGCTTGATCTGTTCTAGGATCTCTCAGTTCTAGGGCTTTACCATGAACCTGACTCAGGCCCTCTTTGATCAATAACTCTCATTTTTCCTTTCAGTCTCAGATTTCACTATATATATTATCTTATCTTTCAAGTATACCTCAGTTTTAAATTTCTCAAAGGATGGCTGATTACTGTAACTACTCAGTTTATGCTTAGCCACGACAGAGATCCCTACTTACCATGTCAATTGGTTGCTTCTAGCCAAGTCCTCTGTAAAAATACTTTTGGCTACAAGTAACAGAAAACCTAGCAAAACAACAACCAACTAACCCAAACAAAGCTCACTGCTGTCAAGTCGATTCTGTAAGACAGAGTAGAGCTGATCCTAGGGGTCTCTGAGACTAAGTTTTTACAGGAGCAGATAGCCTTATCTTTCTCCCACCGGTGGGTTTGAACCAAGGACCTTGCAGTTAGTAGTCCAATGCTTAACCCACTGTACTACCAGTACTGCTTTCAACCGACCAGGAAGTGTGTTAATATAGAACAATTACCCCAGCATGGTTAGACCATTCTAAGATTAGTTCAGCAGCAGCACACCTCTGTCAGAACTCTCGATGTCTTGGTGTTTTGGCTTTATTCTCATGGAAGAAGATGGTGGCAGCAAGGAAAATCTTTCCCAGAAGTCCTTTGGCCTCAGCAGACTTCCTACACCTCTCATTGGATGAAATGATATGGCATGACAAAATCAATCATGAGCAAGGGAATAAAATTATTATGATTGGCTTACAGGCTTAAATAAGGCACAATTACCTTCCTGGCACATGGACTAGGCCTTCCCTCCCTAAAGCATATGACCACCTGATAGCTAAACACTGGAATTCCATTATCACAATGTCTAGCCCATCACTTAGGTGCAGTAAGGAAATGAGCCACCTGTACATTATTATGTCCTATAGCTATCTCTTCAAGCAGGAGCCATGGGGACAGTTTCCTTTAGAAAGTCCAGTCTGGGTCACAGGCACTGTACTATGTCTAATTCAGGTCAACCTCTTTATCTGTTCTCAAATGAAGTACAGATTTCCTGGTCCCACACGCAGAACTTCTGAGTCATTAGATGGGCGGTAGAGACTGGGAAACTAAATTTTTAACAAGTAACCAAGGAGATTTGGAAGGGGGTGAGACAGGACTTATCCTTTATAAACATTGTAAAATCCCTTTTTTCACCATCCTCCTGACTTGAATTCTTGAAGATCCCTAGCAATATTATAGTCTTTAAATCAATTTCTCGTTCCTCATCTTCCTTAATATGAGGTTTTCATAATAGTTGACCTCCTAATAAAGCTTCTTTGCCGTCTTTGGTCCCATGCTTCCTTGGTTTTAACTGAAGTCTCTGATGACTTTTTATTCTTCCTTACACTATACATTCTTTTATACTCTCAAGTATTCCTCAGTTTAAATTTGTTTTCCAAAAATAGAGGATTCAGTAAATTATATTATGTTCATATAGTCATTAACGTAATATTCTGGAAGAAAATATAAGACTGTGGTTAAGATAAAGAGCTTTGGTAACGTCGTGGACTGTGAGCTGGGTTGCTAACCAAAAGGTCAGTAGTTCAAATCTATGAGTTATTCTATGGGAGAAAGATGAGGCTTGATGCTCCCAGAAAGATGTACAGGCTCGGAAACCATATACAGGGTCACAGTGAGTTGGAACTGACTCAGTGGTACACCTCCACCACTGTGGGTAAGATCACGTTTTATACCAGTGTAGTGTAGTGTGCTGTTATTAAGTACCATCAAATTATTTCCAACTCCAAGTATTAGCTGGTAGGTTCGAACTGCCGAACTTGTGGTTAGCAGTCTAGAGCTTACCCTGTACCACCATACCAGGACTCCATATATAGTAGTACTAATTAAGTAATATACAACATTGAAGAGGATTTTAAATACTTAACTGATAAAGATCAAACACCTCAGCCTGCAGCATGGGTTGCACCTCAATGTAAAGAAAACAAAAGTCCTCACCACTGGACCAGTAAATAGCATCATGATAAATGGAGAAGAGATTGAAGTTGTCAAAGACTTCATTTGCTTGGATCCACAATCACTGCTCAAGGAAGCAATAGTAAAAGCCTCAAATGAGAGGTGTATTGCATTAGGCAAATCTGCTTTGTTCCAGAGCAAAGATATCAGTTTGAGGACTAAGGTGCGCCTGACCCAAGCCATTGTATTTTCAGTGACCTCATATGCATGTGAAAGTTGGACAACAAATAAGGAAGACTGCAGAAGAACTGATGCATTTGAATTATGGTGTTGGAATACTGGTGTGGTGTTGTAGGATAAGCACTGGTTTATGTAAGTGTGTGTGTGTTGTGTATCAATAAGATATGTATTAAAAAATAGATTGTATACATGCCAGTATGATTTCTAGATGGTGAAATCATTAAAGATAATTATTTTTAAAAATTTTACATTTTCTATAATATTTTTATTGAGATGTCTTCAAATAGCATAAAATTTGCTTTTTTGAAATGTAGATTTCAATAGTTTTTAGTATTTTCACAATATGGTATTTTTTCATTATAAAATGTTGGGTCCTATACTTACAAATCCGCGGGAGAAAGATGAGGCTTTCTACTCCCGTAAAGATTTACACCCTCGGAAACCCTGTACAGGGTCGCTATGGGTCGGACCCGAC